CTTCATCCTGTCCCCATTTTGGCAACCTCTTCCACCTGGGGCAAAAGTGTTGGGTACTATGAGTGGAAATAGGCTGCTCTCGACTGCCATGCAGCTGATGGATAACATTGAGTGTAAGGATGATCCCAACAGGCCTTGGGTAACATTGGTAAGATCTAAGTCTTCTTTGTTTTCTACCACATCTAAATCTGTGGATTCCTTATTCGAGGTATTTTATGAAAATTTTTCTAAACTTCCTGATCTCTCAGCACTTACAAAGAAACAGGAAGGGCAGGCAACTGTGGGTCATCATTCATTGTTTTTAGAAGGTGATACTACACTATCTTGGCCTGATATTTGCCCCAAAATGATCTCTGAATTAGATGAAGTGTGGGCTAATATATTGAAAGACTTTACATTCATTCCCACAGATAGGAATGCTCACAAGTTTAGTTTTTTGAAGTTCCAATTTAATGACAAAAAGAGCTCCTTATATGAACTTTCCCAGTATTTGTCGGCTCCAGAATATGCTGACATAAGTTATGAAAGAAATTTGAAACCAGTTGCTTCTGCACTGTTGCTTGGATCTGTTGGACTGGTGCCCGCATCCACTACAATTGCAACAAGGATGTGTAGACCAGTTACTGCATTCTCAGTTCGAGATATCCTTGGCACTTCACGCTTGGAGTTTCTCAAAAGGAGTTTAAATAGATTGTTGGGTAATTCCAATATAGCTAACCAAGTAACAGCAGGTCATAGACCCCAAACTTCCATGCATTATGAGAAAGCATGGAAACTTTTTCAACAATTTATCAAGTTAACGACTCCAGACACATTGTCGGAAACAGTTGTGTTAGAATTTTTTGAATTTCTGTTCAGAGTAAAAGGTCTTCAAGGATCGACAATTGCATCTTATAAATCAGCATTGGTTGACCCTCTGGCTTGGGGTTTTAAAATTACTTTGAACCCAAGGATTTATCAAATGCTCAGATCGTCCTTTTTCATTCAGAAACCCTCTCGGCCTAAGAGAATCCCACCTTAGTCTCTAGAAAAAGTTACTACAGTATTACCCCGCCTAACGCGGTTTCACTTAACGCGTTTTATCATATACGCGGTGCCTCGCCAGAGCTGAACTTTCACTTAACACGGATTTTTTCCACATATACGCGGTGAGTGTCCGGCTCGAGACGCTATTTTTAGATTTGCCCCACCCGCCACCCTGCCTGACTGCCTGTTTTAGCTCATAAAATTCATACAAATTACCCGGCCAGAATATAATTTACATTGCTGGAATTCTTATAATTTGGTGATCATTTTGAATATAAACATCATATATTTTGCATTAAACATACAATTTTTAGATAAAAATTTTTCTCTAGGTAACTATGTTATCTTTTGTGCAAAATATATGACATTTATATTCAAAATATTCCTGGTCTTACAAGGAATCCAGCAATGTCAATTATATTATCCTAACTTTAGTTTGAGGTATTATTTATTAAAATTTAGTGGTTATCCCACACATCTCCTTGGGACGGTTGGTGGGGGGTGGGGGGGAGGGAGGGACCGACCGACCATCTGTTACCCCGTGAAGAATTTTTTTTTTTTTATTAACTGAAGATATTTGTTTTAGCTCATAAAATTCATACAAATTACCCGGTCAGAATATAATTTACATTGCTGGAATTCTTATAATTTGGTGATCATTTTGAATATAAACATCATATATTTTGCATTAAACATACAATTTTTAGATAAAAATTTTTCTCTAGGTAACTATGTTATCTTTTGTGCAAAATATATGACATTTATATTCAAAATATTCCTGGTCTTACAAGGAATCCAGCAATGTCAATTATATTATCCTAACTTTAATCTGAGGTATTATTTAATACTAAATGTTAAAAACTCTGGAAGGGAGGATTGGTGGGGGGTGGGGGGGAGGGTTGGGACTGACCGCGCGGTTGGAAGAGGGGGGGAGGCAAGGTGGGGTACTTTGATTGACAGATAGTGTCGTGAAGATTATTTTTTTTTTTATTAACTGAAGATATTTGTTTTAGCTCATAAAATTCATACAAATTACCCGGTCAGAATATAATTTACATTGCTGGAATTCTTATAATTTGGTGATCATTTTGAATATAAACATCATATATTTTGCATTAAACATACAATTTTTAGATAAAAATTTTTCTCTAGGTAACTATGTTATCTTTTGTGCAAAATATATGACATTTATATTCAAAATATTCCTGGTCTTACAAGGAATCCAGCAATGTCAATTGTGTTATCCTAACTTTAGTTTGAGGTATTATTTATTAAAATTTAGTGGTTTTCCCCCAAGCAGTGTAGTGTGAGAGGGGGAGGGAGTTGAGTCCATTATTTGAATGGACATTAACTTGGCGACTGTATTTCTCTATTTCTCTTAAGTATTAATTGTGTGCATGTACCATCATAAAATTAAGATGTAATTTTTACTACAACATAGGTATGTGCCTTCAAAAAGTGGAGTTTGGGGGTCGGGCCGGTTTCTATTGGAATTAATCCCATATGTTCTGTTGTTCACTTAACGCGGATTTCACTTAACGCGGGACCCTCTGGGTTCAATTGACCGCGTTAAGTGGGGTACAACTGTACTCTATTATTATTATTATTATTATTATTATTATTACATTTTCGTCCCCCAGGCCCCGATGTGGGTCAGTGACCTATGCCTGGGTAGGCAAATTCCTGTAAAAAAAAAAATAAAATAAAATAATAATACGATCAATCCCTTTGCGATGGCTTTTTGAGGTCCCTAACCCCATCGTATAACAGTCATTGTTTGTACTCAAAATTCAATGCTGTTGTTAGTGAAATGGCATCCAGTGTAAAAACCGTGGATACCCAGAATCTACTGTTGGCAGTAGTCTATTGTAGGCTCATTACAGACAAGTCGGCATGGTCTTGGACTCGTACGTGCCAACTTATGGGATTAGTCCTACTAGCAATAAAAAAGTTGAGGGAAATGATGAAAATGAATCTGACAGTGATTGAATGATAGGACTGACTTAAAACACTCCATTGTTAGAACCTAATGTTAATCAACAAGAACAAAATGTTTAATAAAACAGAAACAAAACTGTAGCAATGTCGGAGAGGATCTTTATATTAAGTAAGTAACTTTCTTCAGTTGTGTGTAACCATGGGAAACTCACTCAGGTAGTGCCTCAGGATGAGCCTACAGTAGACAAGACTAGAGTCCCTATATAATGAGAGTAGCAACATGGAGGGTCCCAGAAAATGAGATCACTGGGTGCCATATTGTTGCCACCAGTACGCAATGAGCACAATGTCAATTACCATCTGACCGTTGCCTTAAGGTGTGGCCACACTAAAGTACATTTTGCCTGATTTTCGTATGAACATATCTCCGCTTTTATAATGAAAGTCTATGAGAAAGGTGCTTTGATTTGTGAATTTTGATTTATGAAAGGTTTTTATGGAAAAGAATTCTGTCTTGAATTGGGATATACTGTGTCTACACAATACTACTCTCTTAAAAGCAAAATTAATGTATTTCAGAGAGTGTGAATATACTGTACAGTGGTCCCTCGGTTAACGAAATTTCGGTTAACGAATTACCTTCCATAAGAATCTTCAATTCGGTTAACGAAAAAAAAATTTATTAACGAAATCCTTACGAAAATCAAATTTTGTTTTGAACATCAGCTAATAAGCTGAGGAGGTACTCAGCCAATTCAGTGATCTCTTCTATGTTTACATTCAAATTAATCACTATCTTATAAGAATTCCAGCAATGCAAATTAAATTCTCCCTGGTCACATGTGACATTTTATTAGAAAAAAAAAAAAAAACTCAATCTAAAGGACATAAATTAACAATTAAATACTTCACACCACAGGTGCCAACTGTCAAACATGTCACTGTCACCCCTCCCTCCCTACCCCCCACCTTCCCGAGAAACGTTTGGGGAAAAGCACCTTCCCCCTGTCACTCAACTCCCTCCCCACGTTTACTGGCAAACTCCTCCCTCCCTCCCCCCCCACCTTCCTGAGAAACGTTTGGGGAAAAGGACTAGGTTTACACATTTTAAATAAATAATATCTCAGACTAAAGTTAGGATAATATAATTTGCATTGCTGAAATCCTTGCAAGACGGAATAATTTGATTATAAATGTCATATATTTTGCACAAGACAAAATTTTTGCTCTCCCTAATAAAATTCTTAAATTCGATCTAAAATTTGTATGTCTAATGCAAATTTTAGCTTGCTTATATTCAAATTTATCACTATCTTATAAGAATTCCAGCTATGTAAATTATATTCTGGCCGGGTAATTTCTATGAATTTTATGTGCTAAAAACAAAAATCTCAAATAAATAAACAAATTATACTTCACCAGACACTGTCACCTCACCCTCTTCCCACGCTCGCTGGCTACCTCCCTCCTTGCGTTCCCAGACAAAAGATTGGTGATTTCTTTATGCTTTAAGGTGTTTATTTTATATAATATCTCAGACTAAAGTTAGGGTAATAAAATTTGCATTGCTGAAATCCTTGCAAGACAGGGAATTTGAATATAAACATCATATATTTTGCACAAGAGATAAAATTAATCACCTGTATCACATTACAGTAGTGATTTAAGAGTTCTAGTGTATATGTACAATATATATAGTGATTTAAGGCGATTTAGGGGAATTTTAGGAGTGTTTCTGACTTTTTGCATTTTTGGCTTTACTTTGTATATACTTTTCTGTGAGCTGGAACCAATTACCCAATATCCCATTGAAACAATGGTTTCGGTTAACAAAATTTTCGGTTAACGAACGACCTTCTGGAAGGAATTGTGTTCGTTAACGACCACTGTATTACAATCTTTTGTGCCAATATAATCATTCACATATTTTACTAGTTAATTTTCAAAACCACAACCTGCACAAAATATCTTACCACATTTATGAAAAACCACTGTTGTAAAAAAAATTTACATTCTACAATATAATAAGAAAATACCTTCATGGAAGTCCCAATGTTGTTCAGGTAGAGGGAGTGCAGCAAGGGGACAAAATTTGCAAGTCGCTTGTAGCGCTTATACAAAGCCATTGACAGCATACACCCAGCCAAATTTTGCTTTGCTTCTTTCTTTTCTTGAGACCTGTGGAAATAGCTTAGTAAATCAAAGAACAGTAAGATAATTAAAATAACACAGTATGTAGTACAAAATTTCATTTTTTTAATTTCACACACTATGGCAATTATAATACATGTAATCCTATTAACAATGTTTCATTAATCTTCAACAATTTACAGACTAAAGTACTGTACCACAAAAACATGATTCTGAATTATGAGTGTCTTTTCTACCTTCTTCTGGCATGACCACTATCCTCCACCACTTCAAAAACCAGATGGATGTATTAATCCTAAAGGAAAATTATAAAAAAAGTGGCAAGAGTTGCACCTTACGTTGTGCACAGTACATAGGGGTAAAAATTAAAAGCATAGTCGGATGGTTACACACATTACACTTATATTCCATATCAGGGTAAAGATGTGTAGAGAAAATTTCGTTGACATTGGTTTATATTTACTGGATGCTCAATGCATAATATGTTTGACATCCCGGCTGCCTCACACCACCCCCCTCCCACTGAAGGCCTTTTTAGATTGCCCCCATGCCGTGACTCCAGTCTGGCTAAGAATTTAAAAGATGACATTGGAGACCTCATCTTTAGCCCAGAGTGATCCATCAGCCATGCCAAAAACTTCGGGAAAGGGATGCGAATGAGAGCAAAAGTTTTTGTGTGTAGATGTCCCGCTTCTTCTCCACTGGGAAGAGAAATGATGCCCGATCTCATTAATCAAGATCAGGAAAAGGTTGATCATCTTGCAGTTGCCATTTCTGGGAAAGGAATCCAGAAACTTTTGGCAGTTCCAAGGCCCCTCATCCTACAGGACTGGCTATGGCTAAAGTTGTATAGGAGAGAGTTAAGAAATTAAGTCTCACAGAACCTATTGAAGGACTGTCTTGACATGATGATGAGCAACATAGGAGTTGGCAATGCAGGGGTTTGCACAATTCCGGAGAAGCATCTAGAGAAAGATGTGCTTTTCTACCTTGTCGACACCATATTTATGAACTCATACTGGCCAAAGCCTGCGAAACACTTCTGAAGGATAATTCAGTCCCCAAACATTGAGCTCTTCGATCAATTCATAAACTTCTGGTCCCACAATGTTAAAGCAGAAATCAGCTGCAGATGATGAGCAATGTTCTATTGCAATTACTCTATTCAGGGTTAATATCATCGAATTCGTCAGACATGCTTCAAGAGCAACTACCCCAAGATGAATATTGTGAATTCCTAGGGCTTGCCATTTTGTTCTTGGGAGGTGTTTCTCTCAGAGTGATTTCTTTTAAGTGTTCAGAAAACATTTACAGGGCAAGCTGGATGTCATGTGCAGTTTATGTCCTGAAAATGTGGTTGTTCAAATACCAGTTTCAGCTCCAGTCAAAGGCATCATTTTCTTGATCAACAGGTGACAATTTCATTGTTACATGTCAGAATTTGTTCAATTTCAACATCTTCATTGTTAGTATACCTTAAAGAATGGTTGCAAAGCCCAATGACAACAGCAGCCCCTGCCAATAACCTAAGTGTCTCAGAGAGGTGCGACAGCTGAGTCCACTGACTGTCTGATGCCCTTAAAAAATTATTCAACTGTCACCGATGGTACCTTAACAAGATGAAGGTTGCTTTAGCTCTTTATTTGACTCTGGTATTTCTGATAACATTCAACAGGAGATGGTCAATAACTTCAAAGAGATGCCTGGCTCTGAAGATTTTCTTCGCAGAATCCAATCCTTTGATCTAACAAGGAAAACACTAGCCATCTTTTGCACTATCTGGACAAAAAGACTTTTTTGCAGTACTCCAAATTTCAACTAATGTGTTACCCAAGTATTCTACCAAAAGTCTGGTCCCTGAGATATGCTAGACTCTGTCAGTTGACTGAAAATATCCAAAGGAGAGCCATCAGACTGGTGCCGGCACTAAGGCACCTTAGTTACCCAGAGAGATTAGAACGCCTGCAGCTACCTAGCTTATACAGTGGTCCCTCGATTATCAAACACAATTGGTTCCACAGAGTTGTTTGTTAACCGAAAATTTTGTTAACTGAATCTATTATTTCAATGGCATATTGGGTAATTGGTTCCAACTCACAGAAAAAGTATATACAAAGTAAAGCCAAAAACACACAAAGTCAGAAACACTCCTAAAATTCCCCTAAATCGCCCTTAAATCACTATACAGTGGTCCATCGGTTAACAAACGGTTCGATTAACGAAATTTTGGTTAAAGAATTACCTCCCATAAGGATCTTCAATTCGGTTAACGAACAAAACTTTGATTAACGAAATCCTTACAACAAACAAAATCCTTTCGACAAACACGTTTTGTTGTGAGCATCAGCTGATCAGCTGATGGGCTAGTCTGTCAATTCAGTAATCTGTTCTATGTTTACATTCGTTTCCAATGGAGTAAATATCAAGAAAAAAGTGGTTTAATATTTTTGCATTTTTTATATTAAAATTATTAGTCATTTTAAAATTTAGTTAACATATTGATATTATATGCAGTACAGGGAACTAGTTTTTTGTGCGCCCATCAGCAGCTTGACTCACCCACCAGGCGTCAGTTTGGCTTTGTTTACAGTGGAGTGAACATCAATTTTGTTGGTGTCTTGAATATTTTTGCATATTTACATTAAAATTGTTGGTCATTCTGAAATTTAGTTAACATGTTGATAATACAGCCCCTCCCCGACTTACGACGGGGTTAGGGACCCAAATCCAGGTCGTAAGTCGAAATGGTCCAAAGTCGAAAATGCTTAAATAATATACAATCTAAAATGTGTGTGTCTTTTTCTTCTCAGCACCACAAAATTCTCACTTTTAAGCTTGCCAGCCATTTTAAAGTGAATTACAAACAAAAATTTTCTCTGAGTACTGACGTTGGGACTCGAAAATATGTAATTTGACAAAATTTTGGTACAACTGAGGCAGGTCGTAAGTGCGGGTGGTAGTAAGTCAAGTAGGTCGTAAGTCGGGGAGGTGGTGTATATAGCGCAGTGCAGTGTTGATTTAAATAAATTAATCTTGAATTACACCTAGTGAATTTAAAATTTTATTGGTGAAATTACTGCATCAAGCATGGGTCCTCTGAAAGGTGATTTCTCCTCCATCCCCACTTCCTTCTATTCCCCCTTCTCCTCCACCCCCACTTCTAATTCCCATCATCATCATCAACCAGGAACCTTCTACATGCACACCTCAAAGTAAGTGTACTTTAGCGCATTTTTTTTTTTACTCTGTATGTACTTTTCTGTGAGCTGGAACCAATTACCCATATCTCATTGAAACAATGGATTCAGTTAACGAAATTTTTGGTTAACAAACTACTCTGTGGAACTAATTGCGTTCGTTAACCGAGGGACCACTGTATATAAACGTACATATACACTAGAACTCTCAAATCACTACTGTAATGTGATACGGGTGATTAATTTTTTATCTATTGTGCAAAATATATGACATTTATATTAAAATTATTCGCTGTCTTGCAAGCATTCCAGCAATACAAATTATATTCTCCTAACTTTAGTCTGTGATATTATATAAGATAAAACTTTAAGTCTAAAACCACCAAACCCCCTGGGGCTGGGAAATGGGGGGGAGAGAGGGAGGGAGGGAGAGGAGGAGGGAGGGAGGGAGGGAGGGAGGAGGAGGGAGGGAGGGAGAGAGAGAGAGAGAGAGAGAGAGAGAGAGAGAGAGAGAGAGAGAGAGAGAGAGAGAGGGGGGAGAGGGGGAGGGGGGGAGATGGGGGAGGGAGAGGGGGAGGGAGGGGAGAGGGGAGGGGAGGGGAGAGGGGGAGGGAGGGGGGAGAGGGGGAGGGGAGGGGGAGGGAGGGGAGAGGGGAGGGAGGGGAGGGGAGGGGAGGGGAGGGAGGGGAGGAGGGGAGGGGAGGGGAGGGGGGAGGGGAGGGAGGGGAGGGGGGGAGAGGGAGGGAGGGGGAGGGGGAGAGGGAGGGAGGGGAGGGGAGAGGGAGGGGAGGGGAGGGGAGGGAGGGGGGAGAGGGAGGAGGGAGGGGGAGAGGGGGAGGGGAGGGGGAGAGGGGGGGAGGGAGGGGAGAGGGGAGGGAGGGAGGGAGGGGAGGGGAGGAGGGAGGGGAGGGGAGGGAGGGAGGGGAGAGGGAGGGGGAGGGAGGGGAGGGGGAGGGGGGGAGAGGGGGAGGGAGGGGGGAGGGGAGGGGAGGGGAGGGGAGGGGGAGGGGGGGGGGGGAGGGAGGGGAGGGGAGGTAGGGAGGGGGGGAGGAGGGAGGGAGGGGGAGGGAGGGGGAGGGAGAGGGGAGGGGAGGGAGGGGAGGGAGGGAGGGGAGGGAGGAGGGAGGGAGGGAGGAGGGAGGGGGAGGAGGGAGGGAGGGGAGGGGAGGAGGAAGGAAGGGGGAGGGAGGGAGGGGAAGGGGAAGGGAGGGAGGAAGTGACAGTGACATGTTTGACAGTTGAGGCAGAAAGTCGAGTGAAGTATTTATTTGTTTATTTATGTCCTTTAGATTGAGTTTTTTTTTTCTAATAAAATGTCACAGATGTGACCGGGGAGAATATAATTTACATTGCTGGAATTCTTATAAGATAGTGATTAATTTGAATATAAACATGCTATAGTTTGCACTAGGCAATTATCTTAGTAATCATTTAATACATTATTTTGAGTACATATACAGTACAGCTTTGCCCTTAGGACAGTGTGTGCATGTAAATGAGTAAAAATTACTTAATAAAGTTACATATATCGAGCCAAAAATATTAGTTGAAAAACTTTATGTAGACAGAGCTTGGATGGCTAAATTTTAGAATGACCAATAATTTTAATATAAAAATGAAAAAATATTCAAGAGCACAACTTTCTTGATACATGTATTTACTCCACTGGAAACGAACGTAAACATAGAACAGATTACTGTATTGGTGAACTAGCCGATCAGCTGATGCGCACAACAAAGCGTGTTTCTCCTATGGCTGTCATTAATCGAAGTTTTGTTCGTTAATGGAACTGAAAATCCTTATGGGAGCTAATTAGTTAACCGAAATTTCGTTAATTGAACCGTTCGTTAATCGAGGGACCATTGTACTACAAACAGGCAAGGGATGACCTAATTGAAGTTTATAAACATCTCAGAGGGCACTACTCAGACGAGTGTCCATACCTGGAGCTGGCGGATGCTCACCCCACAAGGGTTCACAGTTCAAGGTTGAAGAAGCCACAATTCCAGAAAACTGTGGACAAACTTTTTCGGAGTGAGAATTGTGAACCCTTGGAACAATCTGCCAGAGAGTGTTGTGACAGCACCAAGCATGAGCTCTTTCAAGAGCAGACTTAACCAACACTGGCACAGGTTCAGATACATTCAGAAGCCAGTGTATGCCCCGTACTTGCCAAAAGTGCGTAACAAGAGACATGACCGACTGCCCATGCGGCTAATGAGCCGATCAGTGGCAAAGAGGATAAAAATACAAATTAAAAGTAAAGGTTGTTAATGACCTTGCTACATGTGTAGCTTTCATTCAGAAATTCAATGGTAGACTGACAAAGGATGAGGAACAGAAGTAGTATCTACTCCAAGTTGTAGAACAGCATTGCAAACATTTCCCATCCCTACCAAAGGCAACTTCAAATCCAGTGAAATACTGTATGAGAGGGAGCGAGGAAAGTTACAACAGCAGACGACGGGTTAAATAGCAAACGCAGTCACTCACTCCCTTTACTGCTCCCATTGCCAGGCGTACATTGCCAGGCATAGGCGCACGTATGGGAAAAATACATATATTACTGTCTAATTTGAAAATGGTGACGGCTCAGTGATAAACAAATTATGTAAACCATGCATTTTCCTATAATAACCTAACAAGAAACATTGTATCATTACTGGAGTGAATTAATTAATATTCCCACAAACAACAATTGACAACTCTGTTATAAAAAATAGATTAACATTGACCATTTCATGCTGGCTGTTTGTGTAGAACCCGTTCCTCTCTCCCCTGCCACTAATGAATATCATGATAAAATGATGAATATGCTGATTGATGATAATGATGATGTTGATAATGGAGATAAAGGCAGGGGAGTCACATGTGCTCCTCATCTGCTTCAGAAGAGGAGGCAGAGGGGAGCGGAGGGAGGTCAGACCTGGGGGCAGCAGGGTCAGGATCGTCCATGTCGGAATCAGTCAGGAAGAGGAGCGCGAACAGGAGGAGCACGAACACAAGGCTGAGGCCCTCTTGCAGATGTAGAAGGTGTAGGGCTTGGAGTGGATGAAGGCAAAAAGAACATGGAGATTCGAGGCTGGGCAAACTAGCACTTGAGTTCCTTTGATACTTCCTTATAAGGAACCAGGAGCTTCTCCATCCCTCGCTTGAAGTTGACTGATCTCTTGAAAGAGGGATCGATGTCGAAAAAATTATCCATGAATGCCCTACTAGACAGCAAGTCCCTGTTGAGGTTCATGACACTTAAGGTGGGTACCCCTTCCACTTCACCTTCTTCCTCCTCATCCTCACGACGCTGCTCCTCAACAAGCTCGGACAGCTCTTCCTTAGTCAGCTCTTCCCCAGCATGACCCAGGAGCTCCTCTTGCACCTCTTCGTCCTGTAGGTGATCGGACCCCTCATTTACGACTTGACGGGCAAGCTGGATGATGTGCTGCACATCCTGGTTGACTGTGGGGAAGCCAACAAAATCGTTCACCACCTATGGCCACAAGGCACCTCCAGCAAGAGTTTACACAGAGGGCTGTCAGGTCATCATGGCACTGCTTAATGAAGGAGATGCAGTCTGTGATGGAGAACTTTTTCCACATTTCCCGCACTGACTTGGCACCATCCTGTGTGTCATCGTCCAAGGCCTGCCGTATCCTATTGAAGACAGGGATGACTCCCTGGTTGAGTGGTTGGAACAATGATGCTGTGTTCTTGGGCAGAAAGATCACCTCGACATTTTTGTTGGCAACCTTCAGGGCCTCGGGGTAGCCAGGGCAGTTATCGATCACAAGAAGGACCTTAAACTCCAGGCCTAACCTAACCTAACCTCTCTCACAAAACAATTGTGAAACCAGTCAGTGAACAACACTGCCAGGCTTTCTTGTTGTGGCGGTAGAAGACTGGGAGGAGGGGCAAGTCTTTGTTCTTGAGCGCACGCAGATGCTTGGCATGGTACAGCAGCATGGGCTTGATCATGTGTCTTGCAGCATTGCCACATAGCAGGAGAGAGACACGATCTTTAGCCACCTTGAAGCCCGGTGCACTCCTTTCCTCCTTGGAAAGAATGTCCTGGCTGGCATCTTCCACCACAAGCCAGTTTTGACAGCATTGAAAACCTGCTCCGGCTTGTATCCCTTCTCCCGGATAATCTCAGTAAAGATCGCAGGATACTCCCTTGCTGCTATATCGTCAGCCAAGGCTGACTCACCAGTGACCCTCAAGTTGTGCAGGTTGCAGCGCCTCTTGAAGTTCTCAAACCACCCCTTACTGGTATTAAAACCTTTTTTTGTGTTATCACCAGAATCATCAGCACTATGGTACAAGGGTACCTAGTGACAGCACTTGGATCCCACTTCCTCTATTAAGGAATAAACAATTGAAATTGAAAATGAAAAAAAAAACATTCAAATAATGGGACGTAGCGAACATAAGTGGCCCTAGAGCGGGCGCAGTCATGTTTGCATCATGTATGCATTGCGTATTCTTATAGATTGTGCTGCCAGGCATATAATGTTATTTTATTAGCCTTCCTAACCTCTGTGTTTCATTAGTTGTGTACATTATCTAGTGAATTTAGTCAGTATTGTACAGTACAAGTACACTGCAATACAGTGGTCCCTCGGTTAACAATGGACCTAAGTGCAAACCTGTACTGTACATGTACTAAATCAGTGTTTTTCAAACTTTTTTTACTGCGACCCACAGCCAGAACAACAATTTGAATTGCGACCCATTAAACCTAAGTGTAATGATATGAAATGAGTAAATCAAAGACAAACACTGTTAGGTTAAGTTATGTTAGCTTAGGTTAAATTACGGGGGAAAAAACTACGATTACGAGTTTTTCTGCGCAAAACGGATGACATGAGATGTAAAGAAAGAATCAGGAAATGCTCTCCTTGCAGTCGCTTCCTAGACTGTGGAGTGTACATTACAATAACCAAGCCTAAATTATGGTGCATTTATTTTTATTTTCTTATTTATTTTCGCGACCCATTTTATTTTTTTTTCTTATTTATTTCCGCGACCCATTTTTATTTTGCGACCCAATTTATTTATTTCGCGACCCACTGAAGGGTCGGGACCCATAGTTTGAAAACCCCTGTACTAAATGATTACGGTACTAAAATTGTTATGTCTATTGCAAATACAGCTTGTTTATATTAAAATTAATCACTATCTTACAAGAATCCCTCCAATGTAAGTTATATTCACCCAGGTCGTTTGGGTGGCAAATTATGAGAAAAGCTTAGTCACTCTTAAGAAATGATAAATAAACACGCAGGCAGGCCTTCACCGCCAACTGTCAAATCATATAGCCTCACCTCCCGCTCCCCCCCCCCCCCCCCCCTCCCCCATCAGCCCAAGCCAGGATTTTAGGCCTTAAATTTTTCATATAATATCTCAGACTATAGAATATAATTTGCATTGCTGAAATCCTTGCAACACAGAGATTAATTTGAATATAAATGTCATATATTTTGCTCAAGAGATAAAAATTGTAGTACATTAGTGTACAGTACTGTAGTACATTTTATAATATAAAGTTTTTCAACTGTATTTTTGGGTAGATTTACATAAATCTCTTCATTTATTTTCATCCATTTACATGCACACACCATACTAAAAGAAACGTAAAAGAAATAAATGACCTTAGTGCAAAGCTGGCCAACACACAGGCAATTAAAACTTCTAATAATTACTTAAATATGTAATATTAGGAGGGCACGTCGCTACCTGGCATTTAATACCTCCCAATTTTTTGTCCAGATCTTCCGAAATCCGGATTTCCCGGGTCCAGATCTTCGAGGGTTTACTGTATTTAGAAAACGTTCCAGTATATGAATGACCAGACAGTAACATCGGTGATCACGGACATGAACATTAATGACCAGTTACAGGTTAAAGGACATTTTTGGGATACCCCATTAAATTTAATTACATACAGTACATACTGAAAGGGTTGAATTTTTGGGGTCCATATTACATGTCTAAATGCATACATATGTAATACCGTAGATCCTTGTCATTCGCTGGTTTGCGATTTGCGATTTCGGCGATTCGCTGTAAGCAGATGGTGGCTATGGTGGCTAGCTTGTGAGCCTTTCCCCACAGCGCAACGAGTCACCCTAAGCGCCCAGAGCGTCTCCTCTCCCTCTGTTCGAGCTCAACCATTGCCTGTGACGCAGCATCTTGTGTTGTACTCTCAAAACTTCAGTGTTTCTGTGTGAAAATGGCCCCTAAAAGACTGCCTACTGTCAGTGCTAGTGGAGTGAAATGTAAAAGGCAAAAGTCAGTGATGACCCTGACAAAGAAAGTTGAATTATTAGACAAGTTAAAGGAGGGGATGAGTGCTGCTGCAGCTGGTCGGTTGTTTGGTATAAGTATACAGAAGTGCACTAAGGTAGTATAAGTTGTTATTCGAGGTTTTGCCTATTCCCGCCATTCCTTGGAACCTAACCGCCGCTAATAACAAGAGTTTACTGTACAATGTTATGTACAATACATCTAAACCCAACATTCTAATGCCAGGATTTCATTTAATACTGTACTTACATTTTTTGCACTTCAACTCCTAGCAATGCAAACAGAATGCAAAAGGTTGCAGGAGCAACCTCAGAGACAATGTTAATGGTTGGTCCCCAGGAGATGTCTCTCAGGCTGGATTTATCTAATTTTTTGGTAAATAGTGTCCCATGCTTCAACAGATCTGAAAAAGAACCATTAAAATAGAAGTTTAATTATTCATTAGACTAATATAACATTTCAAAAGCAGACTCCTGACAAAGTGATTTAAAAAGAGAATTTCTTTATTAGCTAAATGCAATGTACAGTGACCCCTCGTTTAACGAACACCTCGGTTAACGTAATTTCGATTAACGAACTGCCTTCCATAAGGATCTTCAATTCGGTTAACGAAAAAAATTTCGCTTAATCGAACTTCTTACGAACCGACCTCAACATGTTTTCGCTTTCAGTCCGCATTCTATCAGTTTTTGTAAAAGTTGTTTAAGGCATCACAGCCCAGCTGTTTTTTATCTTGCACTCTCTTTAAATGCAAATTTTTCATTTATAATTCATAATCATTTCTTCACCTCTATCTCCTCCACCCCCATTTTCATCATCATCATCATGGCCTTCTACATACACACCTCAAAGTAAGTGAACTTTTCTACCATTTTTGTTGAATTTAGGAAATTTTCGGTTGGGAAACAATGGTTTCGGTTAACGAACGTTTTTGAACGGATTGAGTTCGTTAACCGAGGGCCACTGAGGTTTTATACACATTATTAAATGTTTGACTCAAAAGAAAATTTGTAGTTTGTTTAAACAATGTAACATTTAAAGGTCTACAGCCATATGTGAGCAGCTCTAAAATTTTTCTCTTCTTTTATGTACCGATATACAGTACAGTACAGTGGTCCCTCGGTTAACGAGCACAATCCGTTCCAGCAGGTTGCTCGTTAACCGAAACCATTGTTTCAATGGGTTTTTGGGTAATTGGTTCCAGCTCACCGAAAATTGCCTAAATTCAACAAAAAAGGTGGAAAAGCACACTTACTTTGAGGTGTGTATGTAGAAGGCTCCTGGATGATGATGATGATGGGAATTAGAATGGGGGTGGAGGAGAAGGAAGAAGAGAAGGCATTGGGGTGGAAGAGAAGTCACCCCATGGCACCATTTCACCCATAAAATTTTAGTTCTCTTGGTGTATTTCAAGATTATTTTCTTTAAATCAACACTGCACTGCATTATATATTGTCAATATGTAAAATATATTTCAAAATGACCAATAATTTGCTTGGAAACACAGAAAAAAAGCATTTAGTTGAAGAGAGTCTCAAGCAAGATGTTACCTCCACTGAAAACAGAGAGAGACTAACGCCTGTCTGGTGTGTTAACAGGCTGGATGGCACGCCAGAAACTAGTTTCTTTACCTTCAATTATGTTCAATAATTGTTAAAATTACTAAAAAAGTTAATATTAAACTTTTAAAATTATTGAATAGTATAAACTACTTGATATTTACTAAAATAGTAAGGAATTTAAGCCCTAAAACCGATTACTGTATTGGCGGACTAATACTATAGCTGGTGGACCGCCAAATGCAAGCGAAAACATGTTGAAGTTGGCTCGTAAAAAACTCGTTAATCGAGGGATTGCTCGTTAACCAAAGTTAAGAATCTTATGGAAGGTAAATCGTTAACCGAAGTCTCGTTAACCGAGGCGCTCGTTAACCGAGGGACCACTGTAATTCCAATTGAGAGCCATATCAAAATACAGAATATCCTTTTGCATAGAGGAGTATAGAGCTGCAGTATTCAATGGTCAATATCTGGTTGTTTCCATGTACAGTAGTGCTGTATTCCAATGTGCTTAATAAGGAAGTCAATTGAGGGAAAACAAGAGTTGAGCGGATTGCACTACAGGTTGCATGGGGAGCAAGGGAGGTTGTGGACGTGCTTCTAACAGCTTTCACTACTAGCCACAAGGGGGTCTCTATGGTGGTGCTGCAGAGTTCCACACATCTTTGCCCCCACTGATACCCACTTTGCCAGCCCGCAAAAACCTCTGTTGTTTATGTATCCCTACCACCTTCTCCTACTCTCTCACCATGTCTCATAAATGCCCTACTCCTGCTTGAGGCTCTCTAGTCTCCATTGGCATACCTGCCAAGGTGAGGAAGGTGCTGACTATGGTGGAGAAAGTAGAGTTACAGTACTTGACAAACTGAAGAGTGGTATGAGCTATGCTGCCTGTGGTTGCCATTAAAGCATGACCGAGTAAATGCGAGGAATAAATAAAAATACAGTACCATTAAATAAGTTACCACAAAATATACTGTATTGCCAAACCAATAAATAAAAGCCAAATGAAAGTTTTAACACAATTGCCATTTGCATACACTCCCTGCTTTGCCAAAGCAACGCAGACCAGCAGGGAAGTTACCTCTGCCGACTCCCTAGCAACGCCCCCACCCTCCCACACTCTGCGCCCTCCTCCCACCACCCTCCTGAGCCAGCTAACTTGTGTTCAAATAAATGTATATTCCCTTTATGTGTGCGCCCTAATGACAATTATTTCTTTGGCTATTTTTCATAATAGTATGTAGGAACCGACTAAAAAAAAGAAGCAAGCTACATATATCCACAACAAAAACACGAGTTGAAAAACACCCATAACACCTTCCAGCTTGGCCCAGTACCCTGGTGGTTACAGTGACGAGTCAAACTTGGCTTCGATGCCGCCAGCAATGTTAACAGACTCAGATGTGAAAAGAAAGTTACTGTATCTGTATATATCTTCATTTGTATCAGGTATTTGTAGATTTAAAAACAAGTTTTGCATGTATGACATTAATAGATACACTGCAGCAATGCTTATAAGAGTTCAGAAATGGTTACTGCTTAGCTACCTCTGAAGAGTTGGGTGTCTGCCGTATGGATGTTAATCATCTCGGTTATCATCATCATTAATCCAGCTTTTATATTTACAATAATAATTTTTTTAATAAATTAAATATAATAATAATGTGTTTAAGTAAGCAATAACAAATTTTTAATTCTGGAGTTGGGTTAGGTAGAATTTGGCAATTTTGGCTTCTTGTAGCTTCCCGTAAGTAAACATCATGGTTTTCACGGTTTAGGGTCTTCGCAGGGTTTTCATTAACCTAACCCCCACATTTTTTAAAGGATATGTGTACCAAGGAGAGATGTTAGCTTAGCTTTATCATCAGCCAAATTTATTGATTTTTTTTTAAATTAATAAGAGATTCTTGTCTGATTTGATGGGATGTAAGCATTATAATTTATGTCAAATTTTAAAGTTCAAACCCACTCTTTTTTTTTTTTACACTGATAAATGATGTAAAGAAAAGAGGGTTTTATTTCAGATAATAGTCACACTAGGCAGTCTTCATTATCATACCCTTTTTCAACTCTTAACTCCTCCCATTTCCAGTCTTAAGACTCTTAACTTGAGCAAAATTTCTACACCAACTCATGTAAGAAGCATTAAAAAACTTGGTGATCTACCAAAATATTCAACATTTATAATTGCAAATATAGTATTGTATACTGTACAGTACTGCAAACAAACAAATTTCACTATTATTGTTCAGTAACATTACAGTATTGTACATCTTTTCTAGCATCATCAAACTTACCCAAATACAGTAGATCCTTGATATATCATTGATGGCAGCAGTCAAGATATCCCTCCCCTCCCTTCCCCCTCACTACAGCAAACCTAAGCCAACAGTCCTGAAAATGCAGCAGAGTCCAGGTGGTGGGAACAGCTCTGGTGACCCAGTCGCCATCAGGCATGTTGAAGCAAAGTTTTAAGACTGGATGAGACAGTGAATGACCTTCCTAATGCCAACCCACATGGTGGGAACATTTGGCAAGTAAGGGTTGCAACTCCGTAAGGTAATCCAAGACTCCCTGCCTACTTGGGTAGTATGAAATGCTAAGCCAACATCTATAATAATTGTATTACCCTGGTAATACACCCACTCCCTTTATATAACTGGAGAGAAGTTCTCTCAAAAAAAAAATATTGCATCATGCTAATTTCCAGGTACAGTGGTCCCTCGGTTACCGAACGGTTCGGTTAAGTGAATTACCTTCCATAAGAATCTTCAATTCGGTTAACGAACAAAAATTTGATTAACGAAATCCTTACGAACATCACGTTTTGTTGTGAGCATCAGCTGATCAGCTGATGGGCTAGTCTGCCAATTCAGTAATCTGTTCTATGTTTACATTCGTTTCCAGTGGAGTAAATATTAATAAAGTTGTGCTCTTTAATATTTTTGCATGTTTTACATTAAAATTATTAGTCATTTTAACATTTATTTAACATATTGATAATATATGCAGTACAGGGAACTAGTCAGTTTTGCACCCATCAGATGCATGGGTCGACCACCAAGCGTCAGTCTGGCTTTGTTTACAATCGAGAGAGCAACTATTTTGTTGGTGTCTTGAATATTTTTGCATTTTTCATTGAAATTATTGGTCATTCTGAACTTTAGTTAACATATTGATAATATATAGAGCAGTGCAATGTTGATTTAAAGAAAATAATCTTGAATTACACCGAGTGAACTTAAAATTTTATTGGTGAAATGACTGCATCAAGCATGGGTCCCCTGAAAGGTGATTTCTCCTCCATCCCCACTTCTTTCTCTTCTCCCTTCTCCTCCACCTCCACTTCTAATTCCCATGATCATCATCAACCAGAACCTTCTACATACACACCTCAAAGTAAGTGTACTTTACTGCATTTTTTTTTACTTCGTATGTACTTTTCTGTGAGCTGGAACCAATTAACCAATATCCCATTGAAACAACGGATTCGGTTAACGAAGGAACCTCTGGAACGAATTGTGTTCGTTAACCGAGGGACCACTGTACAGGGATACTTTGTTTACATGTGTTACCTCGGGTGTGATACTATTTCTTCCTTATTCAGTGTTCCAGTGCTCTGATCTGTTAATAAATTCCATTTAATCTAATTTCTAGATAATCTATAACAACAATAATTTCTACTGATGTTACAGGTGACAAAAAAAATCATGCATACCTTTTGTTTCTCTCTTAATCACTGTGGAAAGGAATGACAAACAGCTCACTCGAAACCTTTTGCTTTGTCCCCACAATTTTGTCAATAAAGCTCGATAACGACCTTCTTCTAAGAATTTCACAGCATCATATCTGACACTTCCGGGTCTCTGTGAAAGGACGATTGTTTTCAACCAGATTAAATGCAAATAAGATATTATTTTTTCATTTTGTTTTGAAGAACCAACATTTAAACTATACATACATGTATTGAAAAAAAAGGGGGGAAGCCCCCTTGCAGTTTATGAAGGGTATGGCGAAACAATCCTCTAAAGACCCAATTAGGGTATGCTGTAAACATTTAAGGATGTTTTGTATACATACATGAGGTATTATGTAAAAATATGGCAAATCAAGTTAGTTTGTGGTACAGTAATTAATATTATAAGATAAAAATTTCACAAATTTATACCTGTATAGAAAAAACTAAAAAGTTTAAGAGCCTTCCATCAAAGTTTCACTATTGTACAGCCAATCAAATAAGTATCGAAACCCCAGGGTCCGATGGAACAGAAAATGAGTAATAACCTCAGACATGTTCAGCCGTTCACATAGGCTATCGACTGGGTTGGGTTGGTCTTTACCCTATGTTTCATATTCTTTCGGATGCTTGAGCTCTTGATTTTTTTGGGATTGGCTGTACTTGGATAAAATACAGGTTAAGGCAAAATACTTAAATTCTCCAGGACATATCATTCAAGATAATAAATAACTTACCATATACTGTAATCTAAAGCATATTTTTGCTGCAATATTGAGTACAGGGATGTGTTATTTAGCGATCAGGATGCATTCTTGAAAAAAAGATCGCCAAGTGATTTGATCGCTGAGCAAACAGAAGCGAGAAATAATAACTTAAACAAGGGCTAACGAGGAATAATATCAGAGGAGATGGCACGTAATCATGTAGCCGAGTTGCTGACTGATCGACTCGCCACCCAGTGGTGCACCGAGCAGGTGAGGCTGAGCTGTGGGCTAAGTTATTGTTCAACTCGTAATTTTGGCTAGATATACATAGTTTTCTTTATTTTCTTGAATTCTGTTACATGCACACACATTCATTCATACAGAATGTGCAAAAAAATAAATAAAAAATTCTCATAAGGTCAAAACAAAAAGGGAATAAGCGGTTCTTAAGTGGTCCGCAGTTAGCCAACAAGAGCAGAGGAGGAGAGCGTAGCATCACCTTTATACACAATATCACAATAGTATTTACACTATAATATCTCTGTCAGCCGGAATCCCTCAAACTCGGAAATCTCCGATGGACAGAATTGGAATTTGCTCGGAAAATCATTCCCAAAGCCAGAATTTTCCTAAAATTTATGGCTTTAGGAACAAACTTTCCAAGGTTGAAAATCGTGAGAATTTCCTGAAAATGTCTTGAATAAAGATGAAAGTTAAAGTTTTTTTTTCTTCTTTTTGGGTGGGGGGGGGGTGGGGGGGACCGACCTGACTCAATGTTAGGTGGAATGCCTCCACCTTACATCCGAGTCAGGGGGATTAGTGGTCTCATATTACTGACCTGCTGATGGAATGTCAAGTCACCCTTTCTTGGGTGGGGGATTAGTGGGTCTCATGACCTGAAGTTGTCTTGAATAAACACAAAACCTAAAGTATTTTTAGGGAGATTGTGATAAGTATAAGTATAAATGAGCAAAGTTGTATCCCTTCAACATTACATTACATAACATTTTAAAATATGGAGTGAGAAAGCAGAAAGGTGTGGGTGATTAGAGATATCGAGTGGAAAGAAGTGGTAACATGCATCAGTGTTGCCAAGTGAAAAGCTCCTCAACAGCTGATCTTTTAATTTGCCTCCATGCAGTCACACAACAAGACCCTCACTGGATGCTTGTTGTCTTAATTCCTGTGTGTGTGTGTGTGTGTGTGTTGAGCTTGCCAAGCACATTGTAGGATTTGAAGAAGTTCATGAAGAGTTTGTTCAGGAGTCAGGTGGCGAGGTGACATGCCAAGACACTTACACAGCACACACATTAACAGCACTAATAAACCATTGCCATGTTACATTTTACATTATAATTTCTATTTTAAAATTGATACATGACGGCTCGACAGGGCTACTTTTGCACTTAGACAACTGATCAATGAATAAACCAGGGCATATGGAGACTCATTATACATTAGTGATGTCACAAAGCTTTGAAACTGCAACCACAGGCCCCGTTGTGGGTCGTTTGACCTGTGACTGGGTGGGCTAACTCCCGTAAAAAAAAAAAAAAAAAAAAATCACAACCTGTACTCAAATGTAATCTGTTAATTACTAAACTTATTATGTCTGGTGCAAAATAAGGGATGTTTATACTCAAATGAATTACTAACTTACAAGAATTTCAACAATGCAAGTTATATTCTCCTAAGTCAAGTCACTGGCATTTTATAAGCAAAAAAATAAAACCCCTCTACCTTTCAAAAATCCTTGAGTACGTATTCATTAATCTTCCCTCCTGGCTGTCAACAACCCACCTCCCCACCTTCTCCCAGACAGATGGAGAAGGGTCTATAGCGGGTAAAAGGGACTGAGACACCCCCCCCCCCAAATGGCTAATCCGTGTGTGTGTGTAATAGTAATAATAATTAACAGTTTATTGAAAGAGCACGGCAGCCAGAAGGCTGAAAGTATACAGTTACATAATTGGGAAATGGGTCTCTTGACTTACAAATAATACAAGTAACATAAGTGATACAAATATGATATACTGTATAATAATTAGGTGGGGAGAAACTCGAACTACAGGGCATTTCTACATAGTGACAGTGCAAAATGTATGATTGACTGAGAGTGAATACACTGGTTGATTATAAGTTATTGATAAATTTTTACAATGGTTGGGACTGGACTGTTCTTATAGCTATCAGTTCGTGCTCGTATGGGCTGGATGCGGTTGTGGTGTCGAACAGCAATTCTCAGACGAGGGATCTCCGGTGGTAGTAGGAGCCGGTGTCGAGGATGGTGCAGAAGCTTCTCACCAAATTTGCAGATGAGGTCGTGGTGATAGTCAGAAAGTGCCGAGAGGGTCAGTGTGTTGAGCGCTTCTTGATATGTGGAGTAGGAAGGGGAGAGAATAATCTTGCATGCCCTCTTTTGCACTTGTGTGTGTGTGTGTGTGTGTGTGTGTGTGTGTGTGTGTGTGTGTGTAGTGGTTGTGTGTGTATGTGTGTGCATAACTGTGCATGTGTATATGTGTTTGTGTGTGTAACTGTGCATGTGTATATGTGTATGTGTGTAATAATAATAATAATTAACGGTTTATGGAAAAAGTTCTGCAGCCTGAAGGCTGAAAATATACATTGGACAAAAATGACTTATTACATGCAAAGACATGGGGTAGGTGTGTCGTTTAACAAAAGCTTTCATTACTGAAAGAAGAAGGAACATGAATTGAATATACAAATTATTATAGTTTAACAGTTGATGGCCCGGGACTGGGCTAGTCATTGAGGCATCAGGTTGTGTGGTGTTCACGTGGTGTAGTAACTCGTCCTCGGGTGTTGATATGAAGGATCAAACGTGGTCATGGACACATCGGGTGGTGTGGTGTTCACGTGGTGTAGTAACTCATCCTCAGGTGTTGATATGAAGGACCTTACGTGGTCGTGGAGACATTGGGTGGTGTGGTTTTCACGTGGTATAGTGACTCGTCCTCAGGTGTTGATATGAAGGACCTCATGTGGTCGTGGAGACATCGGGTGGTGTGGTGTTCACGTGGTTTTGTGACTTGTCCTCGGGTATTGATATGAAGGACTTCACGCAGTCATGAGACACCGTGTAGGGTGGTGTTATCTCATAGTCAGGTGTAAAGCCGACCTGCTGCTGTTCCCAGGGTGGACAGGTTAACACCGTCTGGTCAGAGGATGGTTCCCAGGGAGGACGGATTAACACCATCTGGTCAGAGGATGGTTCCTAGGGGTGCTTATTTAACTCGTGGGTAAAGATTCTCGCTGGTATTGTCTAGTGCTGAATTCACTGGCTTAAACACTGTTCATCACTGGTCCCACTTCTTTCCGAAACGAAATTGTCACTTTTGATTATATAAATACCCCGGTGGTGAGGATGGGTCAGGGAGAGGGACTTGAGGAATGGGCTGACATGGCCAAAGGGGGCCAGCTGCTCAACAGTAGCAGCACCTGAATAGGTCTTGACTTTAAGGTGGTCAAGGTTATGTATATGTGTGGTTGTGTGTATGTGTGGGGTTGTGTGTGTGTGTGTGTGTGTGTGTTGTGTGTGTGTGTGTGTTGTGTGTGTGTGTGTGTGTTGTGTGTGTGTGTGTGTGTGTGTCTATGTGGAGGTGTGTGTGGAGTGTGTCTGGTGTAAAATAAGTGATGTTTATACTCAAATTAATCACTATCTTGCAAGAATTCAAGCAATACAAGTTATATTCTAGTAAGTCCACATCATTTTATAAGCGTTAATCTATCCTCTGTGGGGGGGGGGGGGTAAAAGTGACTGCGCCACCCCCTCCTACAAGGGTCGTCTCACTTTTGACTACTGTACTGACTCATTCAGGATACGTACAATATTGTTTATTTGTTTTTCATTAATTACTAGATACATTACTGTAATAATCTGTGTTTATTAATACATGTACCCTTCATATACAATATGGTTTTGTACTATGTATATACCTCATAGGTAAAAAATAATGCCATTCAAGACATATTCAAGTCATAAGGCCCACTAATCCCCTACCCAACACTGGGTCAGGTTAGTAATGTGACCCAATAATCTCCCACCCAACCTTCATCCCAAGTGTTAAGACATGATTAGTTATGTATTACAGTCAATTGAGTGAAGTGTGTAACAGAGACATGACCGATCACCCAAGCGACTAACGAGCCGATCAATGGTGAAGATAAAAGAAACGGTTCTGTTCACACCCGTATCATATAGAGCTTTTGTTTTTTAAATATATTTATTTAACCAAACTTTTAGATGATACGATTAGATACGTTCCTTGGTGTCTGCTCGTATAACAGAAAACTTGTATTATGGAGAGAATAATACATGGGTTAAATAGGGATGCGTTCCCGAACATCGAGTATAACGATGACAGTAAATAAATGTGATTCAGTACGAGTGGACAAACTGGGATAGCAGATTCAAACACTGAATCGCCCACAAACACGTCTCTGCGCATCTGGCTGGGGAGAGGACAGTAGGGATGTAGGGGAGGAGTGCGCGGCCTGGTTGAGTGGCTCACAAACACGTCTTTGCGCATCTACATCACGAGACGTCACAGACCATGTCACTGCTTGTTCCGCCTACTCGGCTGGGTAAACTGAGCAGCACTGTAGCCAAGTTAGACTCGTCACAGAAACAACCACCAGGCAGGCTACTGGCCAAGCTGTGAGGTGTTATGGTTGTTTTTTCAACTCTTATTTTTTGGTAAATATATGTATCTTTCTTCATTTATTTATACTAATTTACATGCACACACCATTCTAAATACACATTGGGAAAAAAGTAAAAGAAATAATTGTCCTAAGGGCAAACTTGTATTCAAGTGTACAGTATACTAAGTTAATTATGAAAATATTTATGTCTAGTGCAAACATGGGATGTTTGTACTCAAATTAATCACTATCTTACAAGAATTCCAGCAATGTAAGTTATATTCTGCTAAGTGAATTCAGTGACATTTTATAATAAAAAAACTTAAACTCCCTCAATATGACTGATAAATACACACTTGGTAACCTTTGCCGCCCTGCTGTCAACTCCTCAACGCCTCCTCCCCCATCCTCCCAGCCAGGGTGAAGCTGGTTTTAGGGTTAAAGTTTTTATCTTATAAAATGTTGCTGACTAGACATACCTGAATATAGCTTGCATTGCTGGAATCCTTGTAAGATAGTAATTAATTTGAGTATAAACATCATATAGTTTGCATAAGTAATACAAATTTTTTACCCTTAATGTAATACATTTGAGTACAAAGTGTGTACAGTAATATGTTGCTCAAAATTATTGCTTTTCACTTGAAAAAGTCTTTAGTATAACTAACCCCGGTGGTCACTGTACTCGCTTCTCGGATCATCGAACAATATCGCTCGAGCCACTCCTCGACTTACGACAGGGTTAGGGACCCAAAAGAAAATTTTGTAAGTACACAGAGCAAACACTAACATCGGGATTCGAAAATACGTAATTTGAAAAAAATTGGGTCCGACTGGGGCGGTCGTATGTCCGGGTGGTCGTAAGTCGAGTAAGTTGTAAGTCGAGGAGTAGCTGTATGGCAAATATATGGTGTAAATTCTTTAACCTTGTATCATCGAATTCTCGTATAACGGGATCCCTCAGTACGCGGATTTGATAATTTGCGGTCATTTTGAGACCCAAACCCCCGCGAATTTTTAGGTCATGCAGTAATTTGTTTACACTTTTGGGTTTTAGGATAAGAACTTACATAAATTTAAAAGTGTCTTTTTTTTTAATCAAACTCACTATAGAGTGCCAGGAGTTTAATTTGCAATCCATTCATTAATGAAATACAGGTACTAAAATCTGTTTGACCATAAACACTATATTAATAACCTAAGTGAGTGTTTCCATTATAAATCATTTAATCTAAAGTTTGAAGAGAGTTAATGCTTACTGTAGTTTTGTGAAGCAATAAAGATACCCCAAATTGATAAGCATACCTTGGAGGCCTTGTTGTGGAAGAGAGGACATAAAAGCAAAACATATTTGTTATGGTACAGTAGTTAGAAAATGAAAGACAGTGAATGAATAAATGCATCATAGTTGGAAAGGCCATATACACTATAAGTAAAAATATAAGATGACAAAATCCATTTTCAGTGACAATGTGTTATGGAAAGCAACAAAAATAAACATTTTACTGCAATTTGCACCAGAACATAGTAAATTGTACAATCTAAACTTATAGCAAGAAGTGAGAAAAATAATCCATCCCTAAATTAAAACAATATAAAGCACTTTCTCACATCAACACTCATCTTGCTACTATTTTGTTAAAGATATTGTCAGAAATAAACATGACAAATTAAGCACTTACAAAACAACATCATTAAACAACTATCAAAGGTAGTCACTCACTGTGGTCCGGATCCCAGCTTCACTTTTCCAAGTTTGATCATTATTCACAGTTAGCAAATTATCAGATTCTTCTTTTCTTTGCTGAGGTTTAGATTCCTTTTTACCTTGACTCTGATGTTGTTCATTACTGGCTTTAGACTCTGCTGCATTGCTGTCAACTTTCTGGATTTTAGATGGCCTGTAAGCATTGGATCTAAGCATACACTTGCGTTTCAGGTATGGTACAAAAGGCAATTGGCCTTGTTCATTAGTTTCTACTGGCTCTGTGAGAAGCTTTAATGCTTCCCTTTCTCTGTACTTAAAATTAGTCTTAGCAAGTGTATAGTTGCTGAATACTGTTCGGCATGAGGAGCAGATGAACACAAGTTCCTTTCTAAGGGGTGACACTGTGATGTCCAGCATCTCCAAAAGTCCTGAAAAACAACAAACGAACACATCACATAACTTATCCTCAAAGAACAAGATAGAAGATAGATAAATTGTAGTTAATGGGTGGCTGTAATAGCTATTTACAATAATCAAAGTATGAAAAATTTGTTTACCAATGAAATGGAAAAATAATGGCAACCTTAATTATGTGTGAGTCAATTTGGTGCATCATATTTAACAATGCCCTAAGGGCAAAGCTGTAATGTACATGTACTCAAAATACAGTATTACCCCGCCTAACGCGGTTTCACTTAACGCGTTTTTTCATATACGCGGTGCCTCGCCAGAAGCGAACTTTCACTTAACACGGATTTTTTCCACATATACGCGGTGAGTGTCCAGCTCGAGACGCTATTTTTAGATTTGCCCCACGCGCCACCCGCCCGCCTGCCAGCCTGTGCTTCTCGCCTCTCCCTCCTCCTCCCTCCGCTTGGGCAAGCGGCGCGGTAAGGTTGCGCAGTGTGTGTCTTTGTTGCGTTATCACTGACGTCATATGACGTATCGGACTGTGATTGGCCATGCATCCCTACCCCCCTCTGCTGCTAGCTGTAATTGGCTTAAAGTATTATGACGTGACCACCCGGGGGAGGGAGGGAGGGAGGGAGGGAGGGAGGGAGGAAAGACGACGCTTGACCTAGCCGCGTCAGTTTCATCCCTCAAGGCCACACCGTGTAAACGCGCATCCATTGTTCCGTAAAATGGCTTCCGCCGGACCACCACCGCCACCAGAGAGAGACCTTTCCTTACCTGGACCCAGCAGCACTAAGCCAAAGAAGACACGACGTTCCTTAAGCTACGAGGTGAAGTACCAAATTGTTCAAGATTTGGAGAAAGGAACACGGCAAATTGATCTCGCGTGCCAGCATGGCGTCAACGAATCTACGATTCGCACGATCAAGAAGGATGCAGCCAAGATCAAAGAGCACATGAAAATCACAAAGTCTGCAGGTGCTTCATCTATCAGGTATTGCCAGAACAGGGTGCTGGTAAAAGTGGAAAATTTGCTGGTGAATTATTTGATTCGTCAGGCGCGACGCAACATGGCGGTGGACACGCGCTCAGTGCAGGAGTACGCACGTGAGCTATACGCAGCAGTGTCACGTAAGCTGGGAATTGCAGAGCCCAAACCCTTCAATGCTTCCTCTGGTTGGCTGCATAGGTTTAAGAAGAGGAACAAGATCACCAACATCAACATTGGTGGTGAGGAAGCGAGTGCTGACCGTGTGGAGGCTAGAGATTTTCCTCCGTTCTTACGTGAGATTATGGAGGAAGGACAGTACACTGACGACCAGGTGTTTAACATGGACGAATCTGGTCTTTTCTGGAAAAAGCTACCTTCCAAGACCTTCGTTGTCCAGTCTGCCAGCAAGGTAAGGGGTCGGAAGTTGCAGAAGGAACGCATCACCGTCCTGTTTACCACCAATGCCTCCGGTACCTGTAAACCAAAGTTATCGGTGATTCACACAGCCCGCAAGCCGCACGCCTACAAGAATATGGACATGAACAAGCTTAATGTCCACTGGCTAACCGCACGTAAGGCGTGGATGTCCTCTTCTCTGTCCCTCTTCTGGTTTGACAACTGTTTTGTTCCTGACGTGAAGAAATTCTGCGAGCAACAGAATGTTTCCTTCAATATTTTGTTGCTCCTTGACAACGCACCTGGACACTCGCCCCTACTTATGGATCGTCACCCCAACGTAAAAGTGGTCTTCCTTCCTCCCAACACTACGTAATTAATCCAGCCCATGGACCAGGAATTGATTTGCAATGTGAAAGCTGCGTACTCTGCAAAGAAGTTCAAGCTCCTGAACAACTCTACCAACACCAAGGATGAGTTGCGTATGCTGGGTGACACCGACAGCGAGAGCAAAAGCGACGAGGACAAGGAACAAGAGGTGGCGGCTCAAGAACTTCTCGTCAAACAATTTTGGAAGAAGTTTAACGTTAAACAAGCTGTAGACTTCTTGGTGGAGGCATGGGATCTGCTGACTATTGCTACGATTCGTCACGCATGGAGACATGTGTTGCATGGCATACCAGGTGAGAGGAGGAGTGAACCTGTGACTGGTGAGGTTCAGACTGTTGCATTAGCAGTGGACCTTGCCAGAGAAGCTGCGCTCAATATTACAGCTGAAGGCTTCTCCGAGACCACCAACGAAGACATCCTGGAGGTGATCAGAGATCCTGAAGTGACTGCCGACGAGATGTTGGAAGAAGAACACGTCAGTGAAGAGGAGGAAGGTGCGTCATTCTCCGAAGAACAGTTTAAGTCATAGTGATATTAAGTGTGCCATAGAGTTTGCAGAGAAAATGAAGTCCGTCCTTTCCTGCGACAATGACGATGACCGCTATGAAGTCTTCCATACCCGGCTGGTGCAGGCTATGGAGCCGTACATCACGGTGTACCAAGACAACATAAACACCAGCCGTCAAAAATGCATAACCAAGTTCTTCGCCCGCAACCCACCACAGCCAGCCCAAGCCAGTGATAGTGACAGTGAAGTTGACTTTGAGGGATTTGTCAGGGAAGCCCTGACAACTGTAAGTGACAGTGATGGTGATTCACCTAGTAATGGTGATTCACCTGAGGTCCAGTAATCTGCCCTCTGCCTTGGAACCAGCCTCCATCCCCGTATGCCGACCCATCTCTTCTACTACCGTAAGTGTTCCACCTAACTTTTAGTTTCTCTAACCTAACCTTTATTTTTCCTATGTTAACCTTTATTTTTCCTAACCTAACCTCTTCTATATTACTTGTTTTTTCATACCATCATAAAGTTAAGATAAAATTTTCACTACAACATAGTTATGTGACGTCAAAAAGTGGAGTTTGGGGGTTGGGCTGGTTTCTATTGGAATTAATCCCATATGCTCTGTTGTTCACTTAACGCGGATTTCACTTAACACGGTACCCTCTGGGTTTTATTGACCGCGTTAAGTGGGGTACAACTGTAATGTACTAAATGATTATTAAATTTTTTGTCTTGTGCAAACTATAGCATGTTTATATTCAAATCAATCACTATCTTATATGAATTCCAGCAATGTAAATTATATTCTCCCCGGTCACTTCTGCGACATTTTATAAACAAAAAACATAAGCTCAAGCTAAAGGACATAAATAAACAAATAATTCACTAGACCTTTGGCTCCAACTGTCAAACATGTCACTGTCACTCCCCCCCTCCCCCCCACATCTTCCCAGCCAGGGTTTGGTGTTTTAGGCTTACAATTTGGATCTTATATAATGTCACAGACTAAAGTTAGGAGAATATAATTTGTATTGCATGAATCCTTTCAAAACAGGGAATAATTTGAATATAAACGTCATATATTTTGCACGATAAAAAATTTTGCTCTCTAATAAAATTCTTAAATTAGAACTAAGATTTGTATGTCTAATGCAAGCTCTAGCATGTTTATATTCAAATTAATCACTATCTTATAAGAATTCCAGCAATGTTAATTATATTCTCCCATGTCAGTTCAGTGACATTTTATAAGAGAAAAACTTAGTCACTCTTAAGGAAAGATAAATAAATAAGCACTAGACCTTGGCATCAACTGTCAAACATATCACCTCACCTCCCCCCCCGATCTTCCCAGCCAGTAAACAGACCATTTCGCATCCCTTAATTTTAGCTGTGTTGATTAATGAGCGTTTGTTTTAACATAATACTACAAAAAACAATGTTTTGTTTATTCTAGGAGATGGACTGAGGAGCATCTGGGTAGATTCTCAGTCTTTTTAGTATTTTGTGTTTCTCTCAAGTACCAAAATAAATTATCCCATTGAAACAATACTTCGATTTAGTGCGAATTCGGTTTAAAGCGACCTCTCTTGGAACCTATCTTGCGTTATATCGACGTTCTACTGTATTGTATTAAAAAAAATCACCTGCACACGCGCATACACACACACACACACACACACAAAACCATCACTTATGAAAAAATTCAATATCACGTACAGTAATTCAACACTTTACTTTTTATATCGTGCAGCATCTTAGCTTACAGTCAAACCTCTATACACAAGAATTCGCCTTTTCAAAACTCTCTAAGGTGCTCCGGATCGCCCCTCTATTCACCAAAATATTTTAAAAAGTCCAGAAAATCCAGCATCAATCCGGACGGTTTGTGTGTTCATAGGTGTGGTTAAATGTTAGCATCAGTCTCACTCGGCACGTGTCACAGTCTGAATCCTGCTTTCATACGTATCGTATCAGTGTGCCGCACCTCCCTACCTACACTCATTTGTGTGAAATTTTTATGTAAAATACATAGCTATTGTCTTTAACAGGAATACTGTACTAGAGGGTTTTAAGATACAGGTAAAATTATGTAAATACTGTACCTACTTTAACACTTATAAAGCCCAGGTGACATTCCTCTACGTTCACTGAGGAGACCCCAGGTGAAGTTCCTCAACATTCTTAATTTTCGCAACATATTTTGAATGTCCAGGCAGGACAAGATCATGATGGATGCATGTCCTTTGACATCTGCTCAGTACAGAATATTTTATAGTTCTTTTGAGGAAAATATAAATATTTTTTTTGTTTTGTAGTAGCTATAAGATAAAAATATGAAATAAAAGTGCTTTCAAGTAAAAATTGTGTGTTGCAAGCGAATTAACATCATTTCCCACTCGCTGTGAACTGTACACAGCAGCTTCAAACAAGACATCTTTCATCACTCTACACTGCTCATCAACACTCCAGACAACTCCCCAACCACGATACAATGAAAGTTGAATGTAAGTACATTCTACTGTTTTTTTTTTCTTATTTATAAGGTGACAAAGGATTTTCTTTTTCTGAAATAAGCCTTGCATGGGGCGGTCTGGCGGCCTATGTCACCTGGGCTTTATGGGTTCAGAAATACAGTAGGTAAAATTTAAAACATTCAGGAGCCGGTGCATGCCCAGTATTTGCCAACAGTGCGTGACAGAGACGTGACCGATCCCCCGGGCGGCTAGCGAGCCGATCTTTGGTGAAGAATATAAATGAAAAGAGACGTGACCGATCGCCCAAGCGATAACAAGCCGATCAGTGGTGAAGAGGATAAAAGTAAAAGTAAAAGTTATGAAAAGAACATCACTTGCTCACTGAATATTGTACATTGGTCTAATCAGATATGCTATATGCCTGATGAGAGCTAAGACACTACATATGTAAACAGACAAGGAACAGTGGTAAGAAGAAAAGGGGTTTGCCATATTCACAAGGTTTATTTATTGATTTAATATTATATTCTTGTACGACCCGCCTTTTATGATGCAGGAGTCATCATAATTAATATAACAGTTTCAATAATTTAAAAAATACAATACTGTACACAATTTGCCATTGTACTTGAAAATAAAAGGATAAGCTGTATCAGTTTTTTTTTACAGGGATTAGCCCACCCGGGAACAGGTCACTGATTTTTTTTTACGGGGATTAGCCCACCTGGGAACAGGTCACTGACCCACATCGGGGCCTGGGGGGCAAAAATGTAATAATAATAAATAATAATAATAATAATAATAATAATAATAATAATAATAATAATAATAATAATAATAATAATAATAATAATAATAATAATAATAATAATAATAATAATACAGGTTGTACCTCTCTAGTCCGGCAACCTTGGGACCTGACAGGTGCCGGACCATGGAAATTGCCGGACCATGGAAATTCACCCTTTTCCTGGATAGATAGTGACTTGTGCTTATGCCTGGAAGCACTAGCACCACTTTCTCTGCGTCATGGTCTCTTTGAAGACATATTGAAGGGTTAAATGTCGTATAGTAGCTTCTCAAATTTTGCGAGTTTTTAATTCTTAACATATTTTATTGGAACACACAAAAATAAATAAATAAAAATTTTGACGGCGGAAACTTGAATTTCGACGGGTTTGAACGCCCGCCAACGTGCAGACGACGTGCATAATCGTGTAAACAGCGTCATTTCTCTTATGTACAAAAGATTCATTATTGTTCATTACTGAATGTCTTTTTTATTGAATTAATGTTTATGTGTGCAAAATGAGCAATACAGTTCATTAATAATACGTAGAATATTAAAACACACGAGGAAATGACACAGCATTGTTTTCGTTGATTACAAAACCAGTGACTGGCTGGTTCTACATATAAAACTGAAGAAAATAAGACCTTGGTTGTAGCTGGAGTAAAATTAATATGGTTGTTTTAAGTAATGTTATTTAATGTTAATAAATGGAACAATAGAAATAGCTAACGATAATGGTAAAGAAAAAGAGAGCTCGCATATGTAAGTGCGCATGCCCACACGTGAAAACATATCGTCATTACTTTACATAAGAATATGAAAGCAACACTTATTTACTGTTCATATATATTTTAATTAATGTTTCTGAATTTGTTTTTATTGAATTAATGTACGTGTGTGCAAAATTAACAATACAATTTATTAATAATACGTGGAATATTAGAGGAGACGAGACGGCTGCCGGCATTGTTTATGTTAAAGCTTACGAAACCAGTGACTGATTGGTTCTGCATATAAAACTGAAGAAAATAAGACCCTGAGTTTAGCTGTAGTAAAATTAATGTAAAAAATTAATATGGTTGTTTGAAGTACCTGTAATGTTACTTAATGTTAATAAATGGAACAATATAAGTAGCTAACCATTAATGGTAAAAAAAAAAGTGAGACTGCTCGTATGTAAGTGCGCACATGTGAAAATATATCGTCATTATTCTACATAAGAATATGAAAGCAACACTTATTTACTGCTCATATATATTGAAGGGTTAAATGTTGTACTCTGTATAGACAAGCAGAGAGAGAGAGAGAGAGAGCAGCTGAACTGCTGGATGTAAACAAACCTTAATTTCCCACGGATATTTTTTTTTAAGGGGATTAGCCCACCCGGGCATAGGTCACTGACCCACATTGGGGCCTGAGGGGCAAAAATTTAATACTCCTGTAATAATAATAATAATTCAGATAAGTTAAAAAAAAAAAAAAAAACTGCCTATCTACTTATTGGACAAACTAAAATCATTCCGGACCACGGGAGTTTCCGGACCACAGAATGCCGGACTAGAGAGGTACAACCTGTACATAGCAAATAAAATTTTTAATAAAAATAATAATAATAAACTCTATTGTAAATAATAATAATAATAATAATAATAATAATAATAATAATAATAATAATAATAATAATATTAGAAATGATAATAATAATAATGATAATGATAATGATAATAATAATAATAATAATAATAATAATAATAATAATAAATACAAAAATTAGAAAAAGATCAAAAGTGAGAAAAAATACATGTATGTTATGTTGTCAATAATAAGAGAAACAATTGAGACCCTACAATTGTGTGTAATTGAGGCAGAAAGTCCAATCAGCAAACTGGGACTTGGTAAAAATTTTTGTGATGCCATATAGTAGCAGGGTCTACCATAGACAACACATTATGCTTCCAATATCTTCTCAGACGGTAGTACCTCCCTGTTTGGTGGCTGCTTAATACTTACTACCTATAACCAATGTATGGGACGATGAGACACTAGCTGAGAGCACTACGAGAGTTGCTAAAAATTTTAAAATTATAGAGGTTGGGTAAAAATAATCTTGAGGGTAAGTAAAATACCCGACACCTCTGCAGTAAAAATAGATGCCATACTGGGGAGACTACCGTCCCGCCAGAATTCAGGAAACACTATCCCCAAAATCCACCCCTGCATTGGACTTAAAGCTGTTGGTGTAAATATAGATAGTCCGTCAGTGAGAGGAAGCATGCTCTAAATAAAGAGAACGAGTCCCGCAGTACCCGCATAGACACACCTACCCTGATACACCCCTCCTCTCCCTTTTCCGCTTACTAGTAAATGCTTCGAATTCACATTTAAGAGTTTGGGGTTCACACAGGGAGAGAGAAAGGAATGGCAATGCTAAGTTGTAAATCCAGAAGTGGAGCCAACTGTACCTTAGGTTAAGTTAAGTTAGGTTAGATTAGATTAGATTAGATTAGGTTAAGTTAGATTAGATTAGGTTAGGTTAGGTAGCTTGGGTCATGTTGGGTTAGGTTAGGTAGCTTGGGTTAGGTTTATTATCTGTAACATTACCAAGAACAGTGAAAAAAACACTAAGCCTAAAATTTCAATAAAATAAGATCAAACAACTAAGGCATTGTACTTTCGGACATGGTGCGCCCCAAAGTTTTAAACTACTGAAACAGTTAAGTTAGTTTAAGCTAGGCCTACCTGGGGTCCTGAGTAGGGGTTAGGTTATGTTAGGTTGGATGACTCGTTTACTTTTTCTCCCACACCCAAAAACCCCGATTTCCCAGGCTCTCCCTAAATATTGGGGATGTCCACTAAAAATGAAAGTCAGATTCGTTTAAAACACACCAAAATGCGCTGTAAAAATATATTGGTCAACCCCTAAGGACTCATGTCCTAAAGAAAAAATTTATTGAAAAATCGGCCACGGTTGGTCATCAATAATTAACCAGAATAATAAATCTAGAAAAACAATCTCGTTACAGGATCAAGGGGCCGGTGTTGTCTATGTGTCTACCAACACCCCAAAAGACAGACACCTTCTCCACACTGGTTAGGTAACGCTAGACGATGGACACGTTCTGGGCAGCACTCAAATTTATGGCCTCAAAAATATTCGTTTTCAATGAAATAAAATGAATCCCATGTAAAGCAGTCTATGAATTTCTCTTCCCTGAGAAAAAACAAAAACATGTTATGTGCTTAATTCCCCTGTCAATTTAAGAACCTATATTTAAAACAATTACGGCCTAACTCAACAACTCACCAGACTGTTCCACAACTTTTGAAGCCAAAGATGTTCTTATATTCGACTCGTCAGTGCCAAACCGGTCGAATGAATAACCGCATAATGAACAAAAGTTATTTGACAGTGTGTCTGCCATCGTAATAATGTTCTATTCTACAAAAAAAATTGAAAAACTTTAAGTATCATAACTCGCACAGTTCCGTTGACAGCTCCAGCCCAAGTGGCCTGACAATAACAACAGGAGAGTTCATGTGCTCGGCCAGGAGTGTGGTCTTCTTTTAGAAAATAGATTACGGACTTTATGACTTTTTACATGAAGAATTTTACAAATAAGGATACATATTTCTAAAGTAAATTATGAAACAAATATTTTTTGATCATTCAATTATATTATTAATGGATTTTCAAAACTATAACACAATAATCATTTCTTAAAGGAACACTGTTGCCGGTAAGTCACTCTGTGGAGAACACTGCCCAATAACACCAGTTAGCCAAGGTGGGCGTGTTCGTTAAAGGCCTTTTTTAAACGTATATAATTGATTTTCGCATGGAAATTCTCCCAATTCAAAGAGTAACAATCTACTACTCATAATAAAACTTTTAACCATAGATCGGACTAAAATACCCACTTGTTAACTGAGTTAACAGCAATAACAACTTTAACAGTGGTTAAGATACCTGTACTTTCATGTCAGGTGCAGCAGTGTTGGTCTACTTCCTGACAACAAGAAAGCACAGTGAAGCTTTGTCGAGGTATTTCTCTGTTTTTGTCAGAGTTGTAAAGTAACAAAATAAATTTACTTGAGTACTGTACTCAAGTAACATGTTTGGGTATTTTTTAAAAGTACTGAGATTTTTTGTACTTTTATTTAAGTATGGTTTCCTAATACTTCACTCCAATACAGTTGAAAAAACTAAAATTGTAACTCGGTACAAGTCCAAAACAAAGAGTTTTAATGTCCTTTTACTTTTACTTTTTACTTTTATCCTATTTGCCATTGATCGGCTGGATAGCAGCTTGGGTGGTCGGTCACGTCTCTGTTACACACTCTTGGCAAATACTGAGCATGCACTGGCTCCTGAATGTATCTGAACCTGCTCCAGTGTTGGTCAAGTCTGGTCTTTATGTCATGGTCACGTTAGCGTGGTTAATTCGTTCAACGCTTAATTATTCATATTATGCTACATCACCCACAAAACATGTGAACCTTTGAGTCCCCCAGCAGAGGTCTTCGTTCTCTAACCATTTCAGGACGTCTTAGTTCTTCCGTTTACTCTATTTAACTCTATCTGGGACGCAAGTATTGCTGTATATCTTGTAGGCCATCTAGGGTGATCCCGAATTTACTTTACTTTTTATCCTCTTCACCAATGATCGGCTCGTTAGCCGCTTGGGCGATCGGTCACATCTCTGATTATTTTTCCTTTTCTCTTATCCTCTTCACCAAAAGATCGGCTCGTTAGCCGCTTGGGCGATCGGTCACGTCTCTGTTACGCACTGTTGGCAAGTACTGGGCATGCACCGGCTCCTGAAAGTATCTGAAACCGCTCCAGTGTTGCTCAAGTCTTGTCTTGAAAGAGCTCACACTCGGTGCCGCCACAACACTTTCTGGTAGATTGTTCCAAGAGTTCACAACTCTCACTCCGAAAAAGTTTTCTGGACTTGCGGCTTCTTCAATCTTGAGCTGTGACCTCTTGTGGGGCGAGCGTCCACCAGCTCCAAGTAAGGACACTCGACTGAGTGGTGCCCCTTTGTGATGCTTATACACCTCAATTAGGTCACTCCTTGCCCGTCTGTAGTATAAACTAGGCAAGTTCAGGTGCTCCAATCTCTCAGGGTAGCTGAGGTGCCGAAGGGCAGGCACCGGCCTGGTGGCCCTCCTTTGAACATTTTCAACCAACTGACAGTCCCTAGCATATCTCGGGGACCAGACGGGGTGACAGTGTAATGACCACGGTCATACACGTCAGTTAACGTAAAATCAGATGATTCATATTACGCTCAATAGCCCACAAGACATGTAGCTATGCCTTCTTTTGAATCCCCCATATGAGGAGTCCGTTTTCTCATCGCTTCATGACGCCTCAGTCCTCCGTTATCCCATTTTCTCTGACTTACTGAAACCAACCTCTCTATAAAGTGGATTTGAATATGAGAGAGAACACCATTGTCAACTTAGATATGTTTGATTACAGTTAAAGCATACAAGATCCTTTGTGAGTGGTGTTGAAAGCTTTAACTGTCTTTATTGTTAGTAACATTGGTTAAGTAAGTGAGTGTTGAGTCTGCCAGTACAAACGACATCCCGCGTTATGGTCCCTAGGAATAACCATGCGTTTCCAATTGCTACTGAAGTTAGATTATTTTGTTGCCCAAACATCAGAGAATCTGATGGTTGTAGCTTAGTTATTGTCAGTTGTCTATTTAAGAAAGTCATTAATCTTCTGAGAAGAACATGTCAATCTCAAAGATCTCAACGTATATGCATAAAGGCTCCTTGTCTAGAAGTCCTGCCCAGTTGTGAAACTAAAGTTATCAACGTGGGTAATTCCACTTTTTCCTGGCAAGCTCAATCTCTGATTAGATTATGTAAATCGACTTAAGAAATTCGCCTGACCCGTGGCAACTGAGTTTCATATTTAAATATACAGCAATTGAAGTAAATGTAATTTCTGTCATTGCGTGATTAGCCATATTCTGGAACGGGGTGGTAATATCGACAATATTTACCTAGATTTTGCCAAGGCTTTCGACAGTGTACCCCATGAAAGGCTGAAAATCAAAGTGGAAGGGTAAGGAATTCGGGGAAATGTCCTTGCATGGATAGAAGACTTTCTACATGACCGCAAGCAGCGTGTGGTGATTAATGGCACGAAATCGTCATCCGTACCTGTCACAAGTGGGGTACCACAGGGTAGTGTATTGGGCCCGCTGTTGTTCGTTTGTTTCATAAATGTCATGCCTGACGTTGTACACTCCTCCATACAAATGTTTGCCGATGACGCTAAGATATTTCGGGAAATTAAGAACCAAGCTGACTGTGAAGAGCTGCAGAAGGACCTCTGTGGGGTCCAGGAATGGTCGAAGGAATGGCTGCTGAGGATCAATGACACGAAGTGTAAGAGGATGCACCTGGGGCGTACAAACGGTAAGGAGGCGTATCATATGTCCCAATTGGATGAAGAAACTGCACTATTTGAGACTGAATGTGAGACGGACCTAGGTGTTTATGTTGACAATGAGTTGAAGTTCTCGGGCCGTTGCGAGAAGAAGGTAAATCAGACAAATCAGTTATTGGGTCTTATAAGAAGGTCGTTCAGATATCTAGACGGTCCGTCCCTCGTAACGATCTTCAAGAGTGAAGTGCTTCCCCACCTAGAGTACTGTCACCCCGTCTGGTACCCGAGATATGCTAGGGACTGTCAGTTGGTTGAAAATGTTCAAAGGAGGGCCACCACACTGGTGCCTGCACTTTGGCACCTCAGCTATCTAGAGATTAGAGCGCCGGCAACTGCCTAGCTTATGCTAGAGACGGGCAAGGGGGGACCTAATTGAGGTGTATAAACGTCTCAAAGGGCACTACGTACTCAGTCGAGTGTCCGTCCCTGGAGCTGGTGGTCGCCTGCCCTGCAAGGGGTCACAGCTCAGGGCTGAAGAAGCAGCAAGTCCAGAAAACTGTGAACTCTTGGAACAACCTACCAGAGAATGTTGTGCCAGCACCAAATGTGTGCTGTTTCAATGTAAGGGACGGTAATTTTATTTTTTAAATATTTTCCTTTCATGGGGGATTTTCTCTTCTCTTGTCTATTTTACTGTAATTCCCTTTCTCTGTTCCACTACTTTAACCATTACTTTTCTTCTTTCTTAACTTATTAGCTCTGCAAACTTCTTTCTCTCAATTTCATACTGGAACTCCAGATGTTAGCTTGGTCTTATTTACTCTACTCCAAATTTCTACCCAACCTTTGACCTGTGGTAGCGTTGGCTCGAGGGTAGGACACGTAGGAAACTGTAATTCTGGTACCAAGCTATGGGAAGAAACAAAGGTGGACACTGTGGGAGAATAATACCCCTAACATATAATAAAAAGGATTTATTACACAATGCTAGACTTATGCCGTCTTCCAGTACACACACCTACCATAAGTAACACTCATGTACAGTATTACCCCGCCTAACGCGGTTTCACTTAACGCGTTTTATCATATACGCGGTGCCTCGCCAGAGCTGAACTTTCACTTAACACGGATTTTTTCCACATATACGCGGTGAGTGTCCAGCTCGAGATGCTATTTTTAGATTTGCCCCACCCGCCACCCTGCCTGACTGCCTGTTTTAGCTCATAAAATTCATACAAATTACCCGGCCAGAATATAATTTACATTGCTGGAATTCTTATAATTTGGTGATCATTTTGAATATAAACATCATATATTTTGCATTACACATACAAATTTTAGATAAAAAATTTTCTCAGAGTAACTATGTTATCTTTTGTGCAAAATATATGACATTTATATTCAAAATATTCCTGATCTTACAAGGAATCCAGCAATGTCAATTATATTATCCTAACTTTAGTTTGAGGTATTATTTATTAAAATTTAGTGGTTATCCCACACATCTCCTTGGGACTGTTGGTGGGGGGTGGGGGGGAGGGAGGGACCGACCGACCATCTGTTACCCCGTGAAGAATTATTTTTTTTTTTTATTAACTGAAGATATTTGTTTTAGCTCATAAAATTCATACAAATTACCCGGTCTGAATATAATTTACATTGCTGGAATTCTTATAATTTGATGATCATTTTGAATATAAACATCATATTTTTGCATTAGACATACAAATTTTAGATAAAAATTTTTCTCAAATTAACTATGTTATCTTTTGTGCAAAATATATGACATTTATATTCAAAATATTCCTGGTCTTACAAGGAATCCAGCAATGTCAATTATATTATCCTAACTTTAATCTGAGGTATTATTTAATACTAAATGTTAAAAACCCTGGAAGGGAGGATTGGTGGGGGGTGGGGGGGAGGGTTGGGACTGACCGCGCGGTTGGAAGAGGGGGGGAGGCAAGGTGGGGTACTTTGATTGACAGATAGTGTCGTGAAGATTATTTTTTTTTTTATTAACTGAAGATATTTGTTTTAGCTCATAAAATTCATACAAATTACCCGGTCAGAATATAATTTAC